AGGGGTCAAGGCCGACCAGGGTGATGCGAGGGAGGCGCCGAGGCCACCCTCACGCCCCTGACAGCCAGCGCTTCCTTCTGCCCTGTGCCCCGCCTGAGGCTCCCTCGCGGGATGACAGGCCCAGTCCTGTCCTTGGGCAGTGTCCCCTAACACCCACATGCTTTCTTCTTTTGACAAATGGGAGGCCTGCCCAGGCTGGTGTGGTTCCATTGGTCGGAGTGACAGGCGGTAGCCAAAAAGTCGCGGGTTCAATTCCCAGTCAGGGCACAGGCCTGGGTTGCAGATCAGGTCCCCAGTAGAGGGCACATGAGAGGCAACCACACATGGATGTTTCTCTCCCTCTCTTTCTCCCTCCCTTCCCCTCTCTAAAAATAAAATAAAACTTAAAAAAAAGAATGAGAATTCAGACAATGAAGAAAACATGAGGAGTCGGTCACCTAGAAGGTCCCAGCTGCCCTCAGTTAAGTAAACAAGGCTGGCCCTGGCTGGTGCAGCTCCGTGGCCTGAGCGCCGGCCTGCTCACCTAAAGGTTGCCGGTTCAGTTCCCGGTCAGGGCACAGGCCAGGTCCCCAGCAGGGGGCGCACAAGAGGCAACCACATGTGGATGTTTCTCTCCCTCCCTTTCTCCCTCCCTTCCCCTCTCTCTAAAGGCAAATAAATAAAATCTTTTGAAAAATAAGCAAGGCCGATTTCTGAACCAGAGGCGCCCACTGCCACGGGGACCTTGTCTGGCCACCGTTCTCACGGGGATGCTGCGGGCGCCTGCGGGTTCCAGGGAGGGGGACGAGGAGGAGGAGGGGGAGGAGGAGGAGGAGGAAGGGCCTGGCCCGCCAGCTGTGCCGCGGGCAGGGTGGCTGCGCCCGGTGGTCATGAGCCCAGAAACAGGAGCATCTGGCCGGAAGTCCTCCCAGGGTGCAGCCTGGGCCGGGTGGCTCAGCCCCCGCTGTGGACAGGGACGCCGGGGCCCCTGCCGGCCGGGTGCAGGGAAGCCTGGCTTCCCAGAAGTGCTGCCGGTGATGGGGACTGGCCCTGAGCCCTGGCTGCCCCGCGGGCACTGGCCCCCCCGGGAGCGAAGCCACACGCCCACAAGGGGCTGCCCCGCTCTCTTGCAGGGCAGGGCGCCTTCTCCCCAGGCTGCTCCGCCCTTCCGCCGCCGTGGGCAGGGGCCCCGCACAGGCCGCTCCTGGGGTGACCGCCTGCACGGCCTTCTGCGAACCCAGGGCGCAGAGCCCTGCTGGCGGGCAGGATGGGGTGGGAATGTGGGGGCTTGGGAGCAGATGGCGCTGGAGTCCCAGCTGCCCACCCGCTTGCTGATAGACCTGGGACAAGTCCCCATGCCTCAGGTGCCCAGAACAGTGTGAGGTCACATTAGGAGTGTGTGCGGGGCGGCCGGGCCCATGTGCACGAGCGGAGTTTGCCAAAGGCCCCGAAGGGCTGAGGCCCTGATGGGGGGAAGGCAGGGCCCCCGGGGGCCACCCCGAGGACTGGCTTTCTGCAGGACCTTCCCCAGAGCAGACCCCGGCTTCTTCAAGACTCGAGGACACGGGCCCTCTGGGGCCGTGCGGAGGGACGGCCGCCTCCGCGGGCTGGCCCTCTGCATGGCCGGCACTGCCGGCCCTCACCCTCAGCCTTACTTGGGCCTGTCCCAAGCACTGGAGCCAGCTCGGGAGGCCAGAGAGGCCATTGTTCTCCAGCCTCCGGAGGGCAGGAGAATGTGTGTCACGCGGCCTGCCCTGTGCCAAGTGCCAAGGCCTCCCGGCAGGCAGCTGGCATGGGGCGGGGGTGCTCCGCGCTGACCACGCTCCCCACTGGCTCTGGGGGAGGGGAAGGCGGCCAGAGGTGGGCCCTCGGCTCCCCCCGCCACCGATATGGGGGTCAGGGGCCTGCGAGGCGGCAGGAGGCAGGGCAGTCAGTGGGACTGCGGGACAGACGGGGTCAGGCCAGGGGCCAGAAAAGAGAAGGCAGAGTCTGGCCGGGCCTGGCCCGCGTCTGGGTCGGCCACTGGTCGGACAGCCAGCTTCGCCCCCTAAGACTCGGCCGTGCGGCCGCCCTTCCCCCCGGGAGCCTTGTGGCCTGCCCCACGAGGGCGGGCACCTTCCCCGGGGAGATTCCTGCAGGCCGTGCCCTCACGGGGGCCGCTGCCTAAAGCACGGTGTCGCCGGGAAGCTGAGCCCCCTGTCCCTGGCCTTCCGCTGCAGGTCCCCCGGGGAACCGGGGCAGAGGCGGGTGCCGGCAGGAAGCGGCAAGGCCAGAGCCTGGGGCCGGGGTCTGCTTCCTCGGGCTGCGGTAGCGAAGCTCCCCAACGGAGGGACTTAAAGCAGCCCAGGCGGGCGTCTCTGTTGTGAGGTCAGAAGGCCACCAAGTTGCGGGGGCAGGGGGGTGGCAGGGAGCAAGGCCAGGGCCCTCAGAGCAGGAGGAGGGGTCTGGCCGGGCCTCTCCCCATCATGCAGAGGGCCAGTCTCCCTGGGACTCTTCACGCCGCATCCTCTGCCTTGTCCTTCTCCAGGCCCCCACATCCCCTTTTCCTAGGGACGCTGTCACAGTGGGTTAGGGGCCCGCCTTCCCCAGTGTGACCTCATCTGAACTAACGTAATCTGCAATCGCCCTGTTTCCAAATAAGGTCGCGTTCTGAGGTGCGAGAGGTTAGGGCTGCCAATGCATCTTTTCGTCGGGGGAGGGGCACAATTCCATCTCTGACACCCAGCCCTCCTGGTCCCCACCCCTGGTGTGACTCTTCTCCCCGGGGAAGAAGGGGGGGGGAGGAGGAGGAGAGACAGAGGTGGGCGTAGGACAGGTAGCTTCCGTCTCTGGCCGGAGCTCCCTGGTGACTGTGCTTGCCCCTATCTAATTAGCAAGGGCCCCGTCGAAGGGGCCACCCTGAGGGGGAGGTGGGGCAGAGGCTGCGGACCAGGCTGTTCTACCACCTGGCGCTTGCCAGTCACCAGGTGCATGGAGAGCGTGGCAGGCGCCAACACAGGAATGAGGCGGGAGGGCCCCGGGCGCCTGGAGCAGAGCCATAGCCTCTTAGGAAATGAGCCACGATTCTCTGAGATGCAAGCTTTGGCTTGTCCCTGGGCCCCACCTCAGGCCGCACACAGGCCACGGGACCGCACACGCCCGTGCGGTCCGAGCTGCCCCTGGCAGGCTGCATGACGTGATGCACCAGAGGGGCGTGCCCAGCGGCATCACCGCCAAGGGGATGGGGGTTGGCCGCGAGCACAGGGAAGCTGCGTGACCAGGTGGGGCGCCCTCCTGCCACGTCCAGTCATACCTCCCTGCTTCCCCACTGTCACGCTACACCTGTGACCTCCTGAAGCTTCTCATGACACATCTGGAAACATTCTCATCACACTCATAAAGCAACTGAGTCACAGGGACGTTAAGCAGGTTGTCCCAGCCACCGGCCAGTCAGGGGAAGAGCTGGGATCCGAACCCGAGACTACCGAGGGGACGCGGGATTGCCGGCACACGGGGGGCGCGAAGGAAGAAGCCTGGGACCTGGGGGGTTCCTAGGACGAGCAGGTCTGTGGCTACAGCACGTGGGAAATCACGGCAGCCCCGTGCCAGCGGCGGGTGTTCCACGGGGACGGTGGTTCCGGGCACTGTACCAGGGAGGGGTGCCCCCTGCGCGGGGCCGGCGGAAGGCACAGTGACCACGGGCTGGGGAGGGGCAGGTCCCCCCTGGTCTTCACGTTCTTCCTTCCCGACACATCACGTGAAATGGATTCCCTCCTCTCCTTGATCACCCCTCACTCTTTTATTGTACGTGGTCGCTGGCGGCGCCCTTTGCAGTTTCCGCCAGGAGCTTCGCGGGCATGAAGACATGAAGGGACAGGGGAGGTGCCCGCACACCCTGGCTGTCGCGTGTGACCCTTGGGCTGGGCCCATGGGGGAGAAGGGAGCGGAATTTCAAGCATATAAAGGGTGGTCGCACCAGGGTGGATATGTAGGTAAGGGAAGAATGGCGTTTGTTAGAGCCAAGCAGCAAGACCGGGTGGACTAACTTCCTTTCTAGGAATCCCCTCCTTCGAAGGCGGCCTCCGCCCCCCACTCTACAAGCTGCCGGCCTCTCCTGCAGCCGGGTCCAGGCAGCGGACCCAGGTTTCCCCGGTCGCCCGGCTGCCCAGAATCCCCTGCAGCAAGTGTGCAGCCCTGCTCCGGTGCGGGTTCCCAGCCTTGTATCGGGGGCACTGGTGCGGTGGCAGCTGTGACGGCTCACCGTCCCACTTCTGCGGCTCACGTGCTGGTAGGAAGGGCTCAGCTGCCACTGGCAGAGGCTCTACATTTCCCACACGTGCAGAAGTCTGGAGGAAGGCAGCCCTGTGAAGGCACCCCCGTCCCAAGCTCTGCCTTTTGGGCCTGAGGCTCCAGGCCCCGAGCCCCTGCAGGAGGTTCTTTTCCGGAAGGAGGCCTCCCGGGCGCACCTCTTGTGCACCGCGCTGGTGGAGCCGCGTCCCCGACCTCCCGCCGCTGCAGGGAGCCAGGATTGAAAGGCTTCGTTTGCTGGTCTCTTCTGTGCGGGACGGCAGGACTCCGAGGCTCAGGAGCAGCGCCCGGACTCTGTTCTCCGTCTGTCCGACTCTCCCGACCGTGCCGGGAGCCCCCAATGTGCGTCCCTAATAAAGTGCTTTCCCCGCGCACCGTTCTCTTGTTGGCAACCGAGAGCCCCGGCGGATTGACACCCGACCCTTTCGGGGCCCGGAGAGAAGGCGAGGTGACAGGAGGGGACCCGGAGGCGAGGGGAGAGCAGGAGGAGCTCCTCTGAAGGTGGGGATCGGGCGTTGCTTCCCGGTGGCGCGAGGGGCCAGCCAGGACGTGGGGGACAGTCCGAGGACCGCGGGACGACCTGGGGCCAGAGGTTGGTCCCAGCGCGCGCGGGTAAAGCCGAGCGCCGGCTCCACGCGCGGTGGGCGGGGCGGTGGCGCCGCCGGGACTACGTTTCCCAGCAGGCGGCGCGCGCGCGTCACTTCCGGCAGCGCCCGCGGCGCGCGTGTGGGAGTGTGCGAGCGAGTGTTTACTTCCGGCCTCCGCCGCCGCCGCGGGCTGAGGGCCGAGCGTGTCGGGCGGCGGGCGCGGCGGGTCCCGCGCAGCCATGGACTGGCTCATGGGGTGAGTCGGCCGGCCCGGCGGCCGGGTGGGGGCGCCGGGGCCGCGGGAGGCGCGGCGGGGCGCGCCGCGGGCAGCACCGGTCAAGGGCATCCGGTGCGGGCGGCGCGGGCTGGGCCGGCGAGGGGCGTCTCCGCGGGGACGGGGAGCAGGGCGCGAGGTGGGGGCGCGGGGCCAGCGCCCGCTGCGGGCGGCGGCGCGACGCGGGGCTGTCGGGACCCGGAGCGGGGCTGCACCTGGCCCGGAGGGGACCGGTGCCCGCGCTGCCCCGCCGCGCCCCGGCAGCTGAGCCGGGTCAGGCCGGCCGCACCTCGCGGCGGGGCGGCGGGCGCCCAGGGAGGTCGGACCGGGCGCTGCTCTCGCCGGTCGCCGCGGGGAACTTGCTTCTGGAGGAAATAATTTTGATACCGGCAAGAAACAGTTCCTTAAAAACGAGGAGAGCTCAGCAGAGCGGCCCAGCCTAACCTGGACGCCGGGCTTAGGGGAGCAGGGCGAGCGGGCGAGGTTGGGGGTGGGGAGGGTGCGGTGGGCGAGGCCCCGGCCGCTCCGTGGCCGGCGGATCCGGCCGCGGGGTGGGGTAGGAAGGAAGCGGCGGGCCGGGGCGGCGGGCTGGGCTTCCCTCCCGTTTGCTTTTGTGTTTAGTTGGAAACGAGAGAAACAAGACAAAACGTCACGCCGTCCTCAAAAAGTTGTAGGGTAGCGTGATATATTTTTTAGCCGTTTTGTGTTTGAGAACCAAGACGGGGAGGCACTTCCCACCTAGTCGCGGGGCCCTGCTGCGTCTTTCCCTGGCTCTGATTTTAATAGCCCCGCTCGGGAGTCAGGTTCCTTATTCAGGGGCCGGGGCTAGGAACGGGGTGGGGGGGCGTCGGGGGCGGGGAGCCGATGCTGTTCGCCTCAGGCGGGTGGCAGGGCTTGTCCGGATGCCCACGTCCTGGAAGGGACTGGAATGGTCTTTGTTTCCAGGAAGGGTGTGGGTAGACTAGGCGCGGGGTTAGACCCACCTTTGCCTGCAGGCGGTGTGGAGTCTAGGGAAGGGGGGACCCGGAACAACGGGCTTGAAGGATGAATTGAGAGGCTGGAGAGAAGTGGCAATAATGGCGGGGGTCACGGCGGCCTGTGGGGTGCTGGGGCCCAGCCACAGGGCGGTGGCTCATCTGGCTTCTCGGAGGCAGCACTGCCGTTTGGGTCCCAGCCCTGGGCTGCAGGTGGTCCCTCACGGCTCCAGACCCCGTCTCTCCAGGCCTTTTGTGAAACGGAAGTGGCAGTACTTGCCGTGTGACATGGGGGAAGGAGAAACTGAGGAGACCGAAGCACTTGCAGTGTTTGGGGTTGTGGTGCCATTGGGTTGGGTGTCGTCCCTACCAGAGGCGTTTTGCAGGAGGCCTTGGAGGGCGAGCAGCTGTGTTTGCTTTGCTCTGAGTTGTAGACACTCGTGTTCTGCAGCTGTCGGGACTGCGCTGGAGGCGACCGGCCTCCCTGGGAGCCCGTCCCAGCCCTGGTGGTGGATGCCCGTGGGGCGGTGGGTGGCATTAGCAGGGCTGTGTGTAGGCCGCTGATCCGCCAGGTGCTGGGGAAGTGGCTGCTGGTATTTTGTCTGTCCGTCTGAAGCAGGTGCTCGAGGGTGTGGACATAGCAGCGGTCAGTCTCTTGAACTGATTGAGGTCTGTGCTGTATGGACTCGACTGTCATCACTCCGAGTAGCCAGCGAGGCCTCTAAGGGGCTGGCCTGAGGCTGTCATCCGGGTAAGGCCAGCGAGCGCCTATCTCCTGGCCCCCTTGGGGGTCCTGGTCCAGGTGCGGGTGGGGCAGCAGCCGGGAAAGGGACGAGGCCTGGAGCTGTTGCGTCCGTGGGCTCCCAAGACAGGGAGGACCCTGGAGATGGCCAGAGAGAGCCGAGGAGGGCGTTGGGTTATCGCTGTGGACGTGGTTTTAAATTCAGTGGACTGTACGTTGGACGTTGTGAATCACCAGTCTTTAGTAGCCCTTTACCTGCAACATCCCCCTCTGCCCCTTAAAACAAAGGTGATGTAACTTCAGTTGTCCACTACTCGTCTTCGAGAGCTCACTCTCAGTGCAGCATCACAAGATGCTAGTTCTGGGAGGGCCCAGGGTCCCCCCGTCCTTCCCCGCCTTTGCCGAGCAGTTCCTGGGACACGGGGAGACACTGGTGTTGCACTTAGCCTCCGGGTGTGTGAGCAGGCCCCCTCCCCCACCCCCCGTCTTCCACGCTGGCCCACTGCTCACACAGCCCGGCCCCTCCACCCTGGTGAGGACAGCCACCGGTGGCCTGTGGAGGGGCCTGTGCCCGTGGACGCCTGCGGCATGCTCCGCGCCGGCGCTTGAGCGGGCCGGCAACCCTGTAACGGCTTCAGCCTGGGGGAATTCAGGAAATGTGTTGATTTCTTGCTGCTTCTTGTATTTTGATTAATTTACACCATTCCATGTCAGCCAGGCAGTTTGGTTATCAATCAGGTAGTTTGGAATATAGTTCTCTTTTTATGTTTTAAGCGTCATTCCTTTTTTCTAAGAAACAGTTTCTTTGCATCGTTTCACCTCAGGTGACGGAGAATGGACTCAAACTGTAGTAGCAGTAGTGCTCCCTTCGGGGACCACTGTCGTACCAGAAAGGCTTTTGCCTCAGCGGCTTTGCTGAGTAATGGGGCGGCCCTGTCTTCAGCTCTCCTGGCTGCGGTGGAGGAAAGGGAGGTCCCGCAGGAAGCCTGCTGGGAAGCCAGGGACGGAGCCAGCGCGTCGGGACCTGCTGCCGGAGCCTCGGGCAGGGACTGGGAGGAGCGCTTCCCGATGTGTGGCTTGCGTGCGCCCGTCCCCCTCTGCACTTCCTGTGCTGGCTGGGAGCTGGCTGTGCAGGAGGTGCGCAGCCGTTCCTTTGCGGAGGGTCACCGCTGCCGGTGTAGCCTGCCTCTCCGGCCCTTGGCTGTCTCTGTCCGGGTGGCTAATGGCGAGGCGGCCGCTGGGCTGCTGGGAAGGAAGCCAGCCCCGGAAGGGAAGCTGCGGGTGCCGGTGGTTTGGGGGAGACTTTTGTCTCACCCGTGACTGGCAACCACGGGCATTTGAGAGCAGAGGAGGAAAGTGCTGTTTAAATCTTACCCACAGAAAGCATAGTCCAGAAGCTTCCAAGCATCTGGTGATGCCAAAGAGGAAACGTGCCTTCTCTCCCAGCTGGTGGGAGCGCACCTGCACCCTCCACTGGCCCTGTGCGGGGCCCGCAGGGCACCCTTTGCAGGCACATGCCCGCCTGGACCTGTGGCCGGGGGCAGCAGGTGCACCCCGGGAGCCCCTCCCCGCTTCCGGGGCTGTGGACACCTTGACACAGCGGCACCCCCCCCACCCCCCGTGGCAGGCGAGCGAGGCATGGGGCAGAGCTCCCTGGCCCTGGCAGGATCTCACTGAGTGCGCGCCCCAGCAGCTCTGGGCCAGCTGGCCCGGCCTCACTGACCAGCGGCAAGGTCCCCAGCCTGTCTGGCTCTGCCTTTGGGACCCTGTGCCCGGTGGGGCCTGCGTCCAGCTCCTGCAGAGGCCCAGGCAGTGGTGACTGCCTCTGCCCCTGCCCCGTGGGCCACCGGCCGGCGTGGGCGTGGCCAGAGGCTGAGTCTGATCCGGGAGACTCAGACTGGGCTCGCCCAGCCTGGCTGAGGTGTAATTTACATACCATGAAGTTTACTTGTTTAAGCGTACAATTAAGTAATTTTCAGTGAAATTACAGAGTTGTGTAACCATCGCCACAGTCTAATTTGAGAACATTGCCGTCACCCCAGAAGAAGCCTGCTGCCCTGCGCCACGCCACCGCCGATTTTGTCTCTGTCCCTGTAGGTGTGCGTATTCTGGGCGTCTTGTGTGAAGGGAGCCCAGCGCGTGGGCCCTGTGGCTGGGCCGCTAGTGTCACGCTGGGAAGCGCGGCCGCGGTGCTGCGTGTGGCAGCTGCTCGTCCTGTGCCGCCAGACGATGGTCTGGCGTACGAGGTGTGTGGGCTTTGCTTCTCTGGGGCTGTCTGGACTGTCCCGGCCGCCCCCACGGAGCGCCGTGGTCCTGGCCCCGTGCTACCGTTCCTGCTTCCTCGGGCCGGTGATGGAGGCGGGAACTCGGCCGGGAGCGCGGACGGAGGATGGCACGGGGCTGGGGCGGGAGGCCAGGCTGTGGGGCGCACGGGGCCCTTCCAGGCGCAAAGCACGGAGGCCTGAACACCGAAATGGTCCTGCGGTGATTTGGGAAACACTTCCAGGAACAGCGGCTTCCCACGAGGGCTCTGCCCAGGCGACCTTCGACCCGTCTGCCAGGGAGCCGCCTGTGGCTGGTGCTTCGCTCAGACCCCCACAGAGAGCAGGGTGGCCCGGAGCCCTGCGGAGGGCCAGCGCCTGTGCCTGGGCGCCCTCGGCCACACCTCCCGAGTCATGGGCCTGCTGCCGGAGTGTCTGTTGGGAGCCCTTTGCACCGCGTCCCTGAGCTGTGCTGCCGGCAGGAGGCAGGCGGAACGGGGAGCCCAGGCTGTGAGGGCCAGCGCTGGCTTGCCGAGGCCTCTCCTCAGGGTCTTGGACAGGCCGGGCCGCAGAGGGGTGGGAGCCGGCATGGCTTGGGAGGGCGCCCATGGTGTGCGAGGGTGTCGCCAGCTCTGGGGCCCCTTCAGGGGCAGTGAGGCCTCTGCCCTGGTCGTCCAGCTCAAGGGGGTGCGCGCAGAGGCGGCGGTCAGTGCCCCCTGTGCCAGCATTTCCTGCGCTGTCCCTGCCGTGGCCCTGGCAACAGGCACGCCCCGCGTGCTGGGCTCCGCCCTGGACGGGCCTGGGTGGCGCGTGCGGGAGGCCGAGCCCGGGCTCGGTCCCGGGGTTGGGCCTGTCGGCACTGGGAGCCCATCGCGAGCTGGTGCTGGTCCCCGACAGTGTCGGCCCTGGTGGGTGCGGAGGTGGCGCGGGCTGTGCTCTCTGACGGGCGGGAGCCCCTCGGGCCTCTGTCTTCACAGTGTTTGTTTCTCGTTCCCACAGGGCTCT